GGAGGAGGGGGGGCCGGGAGTGTCGGCGCGGGCCGGGCGGCCGCAGCTCAGCCGCACCAGCCCGGTTCTCCCGGGCAGCGCACAGCATCTAAATGAAGAGGCCGGATGCAGACGGACATCCAGGCGGCTCCCGGGGATGAATAGCTGCCTTTGATTCGGGAGCCCAAGTAAACGCCAGCTCCCAGCCCCGGCTTTAAAAACAGTGGCGTGCCGGTGCCAGAGGAATGCACGGCTCCGGGTGTTGGTACAAGACAGACTTTTGATGACTCACTGCGATGCAAACAAAGATGGCAGAAATACTGTACTGTGCGTGGAGAGACGCTCCGCGGTGCCGGGCAACTGGAAATTTATAGTGCAGTTTTGCATATGAATCGCCCAGTAACCGGCCGCCCTGCCATCCAGCACGGCCGGGGTGTCAAAGCATTTCAACTATTCCAAACAGTCTGCAGAGCTGGCAGAGGCGCCCAGGCGAGGGGGCCAGGGGTGGGGCCACAGGGCCGGAGCCGGGTGAGGGAGGAGAGCCCAGGAGGGGAGCCGTGGGGAGATGGAGAAAGGCAGCGAGGGGCAGAGCCCCAGAACGGTGCGGAGGGCACGCGCCAGGCGCCCCTTCCCCCAGCGCCCGCCTTCCCGCTGCTCCCTGGGGACCCCGAGCAGCAAGCCCAGGGAGTCCAGCGCGAACCCCCACCCCACTCGCTCGGGGTACCTACGCCGGCTCCCCAACCCCCCAGCTCAGCACATTTTAAAAAGAACAACTTTGTGGCCGCAACCAGCCCACCCCCCAAAGGCCCAGCCCCAGGCAGGTGGCAGCAGAGACACCGCCCCCCCAGGGGATGGACCGGGCTGGGCAGCCTTTGCAGGCCCGCAGTGTCTGACCTCCACTGAGCCTCTCCCGGGGGGCGGGGGCTATGCACATGGCCTCTCCTGAATGGGGGGGGTGTGTGGCCTGCCCTGCTCCAGCAGAGAGATGGGCACCGCGGTCTAGGCTCAAACCGCCACCTGCTGGACTCGCGGCCCGAGGGCAACGCGCCGGCCGCCCGGCCTCGGTCCTCCGTCCGCACGGACCCCGGGAGAGCACGGGCAGCCACAAGAAGGGACCAGGGCGAGGCTGGAGGTGGCCGAAGGCGGCGTCACCGCCATCGCCCGCAACTTAACCCCGGCGGCGGGGGGGGCGGCGGCACCAGGAAGAGCCGCCCGGGCGCGAGGTCGGCGCCTCCCCGTCCAGGCCCGTGGGCCGCGGCTCCGGGGCCGGACGCGGCGCTGCTGGACGGGGACAGGAGGACAGCAGGTGAGGGCCCTGCCGGGGCGGCGGCCGCAAGGCGCCTCGGCCGATGGACGCTGGCGGGTGACGGAAGACCAGGGCCGTGACTGGGCGCTGTCGGGAGGGGACCCCACTCGGCTGCTCTGACGACCCGGGGGGCTGTCAGCGAGGAGCTGGGGCTCGAGGCCCCCGCTGGCCCCCAACACGCACGGCCGCCATCTCGGCCCTGACTGCAGGCCCAGGCCGGGCCCCTCACCCGCACCCGGGGGAGATAAGCAGCGAGGGCCCCGCGGAGCCCCCACACCGCCCGGCCCGCGGTGTGGCAGGCTTCGGAGCGAGGGCCCCGCGCACAGCGCCCTGGGTCGCACCCCCGACCGCTCTGGCCCTCGCCGCCCTTAGGCAGCTGCAGCGTGGACAGGACAAAGGGGTCTGCACGCCGCCCCCAGGGGGCTCGGCCAGCCAGCTCTATCCCGGCCCCGGGCCGGGCTCTTGGAAGCTCCTGCCGGATGCCCCGTCAGGCCCCCCAGACTGGCTGTTTTGCCCTGGGGGCCCCCCTTTCCTGGGGCCTAGGAGAAGCTCCATGGCCCCAAGACGAGGGGCTGGGGCCTCCGGGCGAGGGTTGGGGGCACCGCCCCACATGCGCACCCCTCCGCAGAGCGGGCCAGGCGGACATGGTCTGAGCCTACATGGGAAAACAGGACAGCAGCGGCCGAGGGACGGCAGGACGGTGGTGGGCGACTCTGGCCCGGGAGCAGCCCCGGGGACACAGCCCCCCGCCGCCCCTGTGTGAGCCCCTCCCCCACTGTGCCGTGCCCCGGCCTGGTACCGAGCTGCCACCACCGTCAGGCCCTGCCTCAATGCCACCTCCTCGGAGAAGCCCTCCAGGCATGGGGAGGGCGGGTCTGCCCAGTGCCTAGTGGGCATCTAACCTAATGCCGGACACAGCCAGGGGAGGGGGCTGGGCTGCCCACAACACACAGCGCACTGCGGAGGGCCCCCCCGACCGGCCCCCTCCACAGGCCCACGGCTCCCACCACCGGGAGCCTCCCAGAGACTAAATGGGGCCACCTGAGCCAGACAGGGGCTCACGTGTCACGAGAGGGTGACCCAGCCTGGCCAGAGTGGGCAGAGGCCAGCAGAGGTGTGCTGTGCAGGCCAGGGGCTGGGTCCCAAACTCAGAGCAGGGGACACAGCTCGAAGCCCTTGGGGCCGGTCCCCTCCAACAGCAGGTCCTCGGTCCCGCTGGGCACCACCCGACATGCCAGGCCTGGCCTCAGCAACGTCACGTCCCTGTCCCGTGGCCTCAAGTGAATGACACCACCCCCGAGCCGCTCGGCCGTCAGTGGGCCAGGCGCGGCCGTGGGCAGTTACCGCAGGTGGAGGGAGAAGATGTGCTGGAGCCCGGCCCGCTCTGCGCCCAGGTGAGCCGCACCGGATGGCTGTTACCTGCGGTGACCCGGGCAGGGCTGGGGGCGGGGGGACGGCGGTCCAGGGCAGCGTCTCCGTCGGCCTGCGCCTGCATTTCAGGGGCCTCCCCCCGCCCCAGAGAAGGGACCATTATTCCCCAGGAAGGTGACAAGGCTGTCTGGGTCCCCAGGGACTGGGGACAAACGGTGCCACCACCATGTCCTCACGCCACCTGTGCAGGCAGCGGCTGGCGCCCCGAGGCCCAGCCCACGGGAGCCGCATGCCAGCTGGTTTCACGTTGCTTTCTTAGAAGCCTCGCTGGGGCAGGAACAAAGATGAACCTCAGGAGGAAAGGAAGAAATGCAGGCTCCGCTTACGAGCCCCGGGCCACGGCGGAGAGGGCCAGGGGCCTGGGCCGCTCAGGGCCACGGGACGGCGGGGGTGGCGGGGGTGCCGGGGGTGGCCGTGGAAAGGGAGGCGCCTCCTCGCCGTCTGGCCTGGGGGCCCAGCTCCGCGTGGCCAACTTGTCCCTCTGTGCCTCTGTTTCCCCAGCCCGCCCCCCAGGCAGCACCCTCCCTTCGGCCTCCCTGCACAGGGGGAGTCGCTGTGCCCCTCGCTTGCAGAAGGTTGGGAAGGGCCAGGCAGAGTGCCAGGGTCCCCAGCTTCGCTCACCCGGCCACCCTCGAAGCCACTGCTCCACAGGAGTCCCTCCCCTCAGAGTGCCCAGCAGAACAGAACCCCCCTTGGGAAGCCCCTGCTGGCGCCTCAAAGCAAGGGCCTAGCCCCTCAGCCATGCCAGCCTCAGGGGGACACCCCACACAGACGGAGACCTCCTCCAGAACAAGAAAGTGTGTGGTCGGCAGGGGCGTGGGGGTCTCCTCCCTGGACCCTCCCTCTGGACGGCGGCGTCCAGGCCCTGGGATTGTGGTTGTCAGCCAGAGTGTCTCCCAGATGTCCACCCCCCGCAGGCAGCCGTGCCCCTCTACAGGACAGGGGCAGGGGTACTGCCCAGGAGCTGCAGACGTGCACACACAGACGCACGCACACACACGCACGACACGTGCACACACGGACCGAGGGGCCCACCGGGGCCCAGAGTCCCACAGAAGCCCAGCCGGGACCAGCCCACCGCTCCCCACCCTCCTGGGCCCACCCTGGACTCCCACCAGCTCCCTGGGGCCAGGGCACGGCCGGGCGGAGGAACGCGGCGTTTAATTTCTGCAGGATCACTACCAGCACGGGGTAGGGAGGCGAGATAAATTCAATTCAATTAAATTATTTTGCAGGATTTAATTTGACCAATCTAATAAGAGACCTGGACCTCAGCGAACGCACAGCCATTAAACACATCACAGCAGGGGAAGAAGACAGGCAGGTGCGCCAGGGAATATTCTGGCAAAAGGAAAGGGAGCCGCCCCCCGCCCCACCCCGGTCCCAGGCAGGGGCCGTCACTGCCCGGCCAAGCCCTGCCACGTCGGCAGAAGCCAGCAACACCTCCCAAAAGTCAAGGTGCTCCGGAGTTTGGGGCACGGCCCCAGCAGCCACATCCCCAGGCCGGCGTGTGGCAGGCGGGCGGTCCCTGTGAGTCAGCACACGTGAGCCCCTGGGGCGTCGGGAATACGCGGCTGCTGCCGAAGGTCGGAGGGGAGGCTCGCGCTGGCCAGCGGCCCGCAGAGTGAGTGGCCCTGCCCGGGCTCCGGTTACCTCACTGACACCCTGTCACCCGCCCATCCCATCGATGCTCTGGCTTGGCAGGGGAACAGAGCAAGGGGGGCGTGGCCGGAGCTGGACCTTTGGGGGTCAAGGTGCCCGTCTGCATCAAAGCTGCCCAGCCCAGGCGTGCGAGGTCCCCCGGGGGCTGAGTGCATTAAACTTTTAATGTGCCATAAAGCAAAGCCGGGCCCCCAGGGGCCGCGGCGCTAATGGAAAGACTAGCTGGCCAGCAAGCGCCAGGCGAGAAGAAGCAAGACACCAGGGCAGGGTCCTGGCCAGGAGCCCCTCCCCGTGGTCACAGAGCACTGTCATGTGTCCACACCCCAAAGCCCGCCCCCTCTGCGCGGGTGTGGATGGGGAGGCCTGAGCGCTGAGGGCCAGTTTCCTGCTGGGGGACTGGGGGCCAGGATCTGACCCCACCGCCCCTGCCCTGGCTTCCCGCTTCCAACACCCACCACCCAGTCAAGCTGCGGTCATCGACAGAGCAAACAGGCACCCCGTCGGACAGAGGACCACCTGCGGCCCAAGCCTGCCCCGGCCCGGCCCGCTGCAGAGGAGAGGGTCTGTGTAGGCTGCCGCCCCCCCCACTGTTCACGGTGGTCCTGGGCTGGGGCCCGGCTCCGGACCCGCCCCAGCTCACCGGGTCCCAGCCTGGGACGCAGATGCAGCGAGGCCTGCTGCGTCCAGCCAGGCACCTGGGCAGCCTCCGCCCCAGACCGCTGCCTGGAGCGGCACCCAGCGTAAACGCCGGTTTCAACTGCACTAGCGAATGTTTGCCTGGAAGCTTTTCTCCCCAAACACAGAAGGGCAGCGCGCCAGAATCGGCGAATTCAGACGTGTGCTCCTCAGCTCTCCCCACGGCACCCCCAGGAGGCGGCCACCTCAGCCTGGGGACAGGGCTTCACCGTCTGGCACCCCCTCCAGCCCCCCAGGGCACCCAGGCCACCAAGAGCCAGACCTGCTGGCCGCAGGATACGGGGCTGGGCACAGCTGGGCAGAGGCTCCATCGGCTGGGACGGGGGCCCCGCGTCCCGCAGCACGTGGCCTGAGCAGTGAGCTCTCACGGGCGCCCGGTCTGGGAGTCTGTGCGCCGGGCTGAGCCTGTGATCGGGGGAAATGTGCAGCCTCTGACCCTTCTGACGTGACGCTGCCCACCGGGCACGGCCGCCGCCCCCTCGCCAGCCCCCCGCCCCACACTCTCATTGATTTGACTTAAATGGCGGGGGGCGGGGGTGGGGGGGACAAATAGCATAAACCTGGAGAAACAGCACTGGCCCCTCTGAGACGGTGCTGGCGTTCGAGGAACGGCTCGTGCACGAGCCCCGC